CACCTATTGTGTTGGTATAATATCACATAATTACTATAAATACTATCCAGTGTATTGGTATGACATCACAGGTAAATATATAAATACCCAGTATGTTTTTATATATAATCCCATATTTTCTCTTAGGTTGACTTCAGTCTAAGATTTGTATCAATCTGAGTCGATAATTACACATGCACATTTCAAAACATGTTGATGCCACAAGCGTTCTATTTCATGTGACGATTTTTGTTCAAAACTGCTTGGACTTTTTATAATTTCAACCAATTTTTTGGTTGAACTGAATAATAATTCAAAAAAAAATTCACCCATCAGTTTGCCAAAATAAATCCATAGTTATCAGACCATATATAAGCCCAGAAGTTCCAAACAACATTCAGACAGTCCAATGAAAAAATATTTGGCAGTACGTGATATGCATTTTCAATCTGTTCTGTATTACGTCACACTATAGTGATGCACATATCATTTCTCAGTTAGATGCAATAAACATAAATCTTCGTCTAGTGATATGTTTCATCTATTTCCTGTAGGACCAGTTCCTTATTACGTGGTCAGAAATACTTGGGGTCTTAAATTCGGACTGCAAGGTTATTTAAATATCAAAATAGGTGATAACGTCTGTGGAATTGCTAGCAGAGTTTCAACTGTGGAAACAGTGAAGACATGAACTTACAACAACTTCTACTTCTGATGTTCTAGCTAGAATTATAGCTAAAATTTATTTGACAATAAATTGTTTATTTTCACTGAAAAATTAACATCTTAAAGTCATTGAAATTTCAGTTTAATGCTGTTACTGGTTGTGAGGATTGGAGAGCCCTCTATAGGTGAACTGACATTTTAATTGTACTGTAAAATGCAAAGATCAAATGAAACTTAGCTTATTAGAGGTTTAATACATCAGCTCCTGAAAGTCTCCATGGATACCGTATTCATTTGCATAAGCATGCTCCAGCATGTAGTAACAAGTGCCCTGAGGTTGTATTTAAACAAGATAAACTGTCCCTTTATATTTTCAATAATCATGTATATCTTCTCAAAATGTGTTCTAATTTTCAAAAACCATCAAGTTATGTCTGATTCTTTTTATGAAAATCTACAATTTACGTCAATATCTGCATACATGTATTGAAAATAATACAGATGTGTGTACGGTGTTTCAGGACTTTAATTAGTTTTGATTTGCTGTGATTGTATGGTTTGAAGCCCATTTTATCTGATTTAATTTAAGCATCTGAAAAATACAATCTTGATGGTTTTTGAAGACGTTTGGAATTAGAACATGTTTCAGACCATAATACACAGTGGATGTACCCATCTCATTTTCTTACAGTATGCAAAACAGTAATTTACAAAACAATGTACACATTTACTTATTTTTATAAATATATGTTTTATAAGTAATTTTTACATATTTAAAAACAAATCTTTTTGTAACTTTGAATTATAATTACCATAAAATCTGTATTAAAAGTTGCATTTCTAATAGAAGTTGCACCTATTTTCTTTGAACAACTGAGAACTAAAAATTCACCATTTCTCATATGTGTAGATGGCTCTAATAGAAGCCACATCCCTTCCATTTCATTGATCATTTTAATAGAAGCCATGGCTTCTAATACATATTTTACAGTAGTAAAATGTATTACCAGTAGTTGATTATTGAAAAAACAAATAATAGAACCTTTTTGGTTTTAAAGCCAAAATGAATAGATTTCAGATCAAAGGCCAGAGGTATACCATAATCCAGGCTATAATTTAGAAGGAATTTACATGAAATTTAAATGTGTCCTACAAAGCTACTGTGGTACTTCAGATAAATTTCACATGAAGTTTTTTTTTTCGGACTTGCTGCATGATGTTGACATTTCTGTCTCTTCCTGGTGTTATTAGTCAAGAATAGTTGACATCCTTGCGGTGTGTCCTATTTTTAGATTTTCTTTCACTTCAATGTAACACTCTCAGTAGGAATTGAAACATTCTGATTAAAATCTGTATGAGTAGGCTTCAATTTGTTTTTTACATTTTTTTTTAATTTTTATTATTTTTATTTTATATATGAAACCAAAACAAATATTTGTAAAAGATTGAAGTCTATACCTACATCAGATTTTAATCAGATTGGAATTGAAAAAGAAATACAACTATTTTAGTGCCTAATGAAATTACATGGCATAATGTGCAACTTCAAGGTTTCATGAAAATTGATCAACAATTAGTTAAATTCATAATTCACTGAATGCTTGTTATATTTTTATATACACAGTTTTAATAAAGATAAATACCCAGACAACTATGGTGTATTGTGTGATTTTATTTAACAGGTACACATGGGTAAAGCATGTATATATTTACAAAATTCAATATTATAACCTTTTCATATAATTTTTTAATTGACTGTTATAACAAATGGTTATATGTTTAATGCAGTGTTGCAATAAATTGATCAAAACATTGGCAGTATTGTTATGCAACAATATGTGTTTTTTTTCGAAAAATAAGTGACCAAGTTGTTGGGCAACTAATAGAGATGGTGTTGCAATATGAAATGCAATCCCAATATAAGCACATTTGTGTAAAGATCAGTCTGTCGTCATAGTTATGCTTTCTGAGCTGAATATCTTGCAGGAATTATATAAATATACCTATTTGATATCCCGTAGAAAAATAACATTTTTAAATCTCATAAAAGTGTTGCCCCTCGCTTCAGAATATAAAGCTTCCTCCAATCACCGGAGTGCATATACCACAGTTGTACAGCGCCATCTAGTGACAGTTATCGAGATTTGTATTTCTGGCATTTCAACTGGTTGACACATATTACAATGTAACTTGCCTCAATATGAAATGACAAAAACACATCGCAACGTATACAATCTCGAATAAATCATTGTATAAATTGCAAATTTCTGATCGCATTTACGTGATTGTTTAATTTATGTCCGTGCATAATCCATGGGAAGATGATTTGAAAACTTAGGTTTCAAAGCAAATCGAAATATGCAGGCAGACACACTCCTTACCAATGTTTTACTGACTGCTCTATCTATACAACTGGCGCATAATGAGCACGGTACGTCCCACGGTGACTAGTTGGAAATGGGCCAGCAGAATCTCAACAATACAAAGAACATTCTGTATATTACTATACGTCTATAAACCTATAACAATATTGTTATCTGAGTATAAATCGAGTATTCATATGGCATTGTTTGGTACGAATCTAGTTTTCGTTACTTTGCATAGTTATATTTATGACTATCTTGTGGCAAAACTTTAACTCTTACGGTTTTTGTGTTTATCTAGTACTTTCAAATCCAGTGTGTAATAATGCCCGGAGCGTTAAATTTTACTAGAGTAGGCTTAACTAGGTGGCTAACTTTTTGACACACGCTATAAAAAAGGCGTGCCTTTGTACCTACCATAGTGCGATAGTTCGTTGACCCACCGTAAAACTAATTTTGCATACTTAATCCTTCGGAGCGAATTTTATATGCACACAATAATGTCAACGACGTAATCAGCTGTTTTTAAGCAGTCTTGCAGCGAGAATTGGAGCTGATCTAACAACTGACTAGTTAAACGGTTGGACTTGACAAAGTTGCTCAAGGTCTCTTAGCGTGCCTTATACTACCGGGGTATATTATATCTATTAAGGCGAGACTTTGTCTACGTATAACAGACTTGTGAATGTTCTATGGAGGGCTATGAGTGGGCCTCACGTACGGAGTAATCTGCGCATGCGAGGTCACATGCTATGGTAGTACTGAAGTCATGGGGATAGCTAATCAGTGATGACACTGATGTACCGTAGCAATTCACCAGGCTATTCTTGACTGCACTGGGAAGGGTACTTGATTACGGGCTAGTAAATGAATAGCATCATTAATAATATGAGTTTTTTTTGGTGGGGTATACTTATTACCTACTATAAATAATGCCGACAAATTTAGCGCATAAAATAATAGCGGCAATCAAAGGTGAAAAACAAAAACACCCGATTTTCCGTAACAATAAAAATAGCAATTTTTACACAATAACATTTTGATCAAGTAAATGAGAACGATACAATGATGTGAAAATGTTATATAAAATATTAAAATCATACACTTTTTTCAATAGATATTTACAGCCTTGCAAATATGTACAATATCATAAAAACAATAATTGTTATACTTTTTCCAGTATTTTGCGTTTTTAGTACATTTGACTTGCTCCAAAATTGTCAAAATAACAATAACAAACATGTGTATCTCACTAAGGGTGCACACGCATCTGCAATTATACCTTAAATCGTAATGACGACAATGATCGTAATTTTTCTCTGTACTTGTCGCCAATTGCGTCGCAGTCGCAGTCACTGTAATCTGTTACATTTGGTAAATGTAACTAAAATTTGAAATATGTAAATGAGGGTCAAACAAACTTTGTCGCCAGTTTTGCGGAAAAAGACAAAGTAAACATTATTAATTTAACTATGGAAATGCATGCCTTGTATTTAAAAAAAAACATAGTGCTTAGGAACCTGTTTCCCTGCCTTACTCTAACGTTTGTGCATATCCCATTATCTTCCATTGTCCAATTACTAGTATATCGTCCATTCCATTCTGTCAAACACAAAGTCCTAAAGAATATCAATCCAATTCAGACTCCTCATGCGCTTTCACTGACAAGTCGTCATCATCGCCGTCTTCCATAGTTCCGGAATCTTCAGAATCAGTAAGCACTTCTGTTGCATTGCTTGCTGGTCTGCTCAGTCGTCTCCTCATGTGCGAATTGAGTACTGGTATACGTGAATGGGGAATCAGAAATGACGATAGGTTGAAGAGATCCAGAAACACTTTGTAACGGTCGCTGAGGATGGAAAAATTAAAGTAAATACAATAATTGAGGTCCACATTATTTGGTGAAGATTTCATTTCACATCCCGACGATGATGTATGTTGCAAATCCTACTTGTTTTTAGTAAAAACACGTGTAACACGTTATTTTTTCAAAATGGAATCATTTT